GATTCCCTTCCAGGATGAGATTGAAGAGACTTATGCTATGGCTGACTATCCCTCCTAAGCGATCTACTTCAACGTCGAGGAGATTGGTGTCTCTCCCGATCCCTTGACGTCCTACCGCCCGTGCGTGACGGTTCATCGCTTCGATTCATGGCACCTCCCAGCTCAGCTAGCGTCTTCACTTGACCTCTACTGTTGAACAAAAGCTTATTTGACATTTGCACTTGTTTCGCCTTTCTCAAAGAGCGGGACTAAGATGCTCATTTAGCACGTAAATAGGACCCTCGTTCACGAAGTACACGCCCATTTATTCCTTACAAGGGCAGCATCTCCGAGGCTACCTCATTAATAATGAAGCGTCAATAGCCCATCCTGTACCGTCCTTTACCAGTCCCAATCGCCCCAATCGCCGACTGAACCAAGCCCCAATCACCCCATCAACCGCTAATATACGGTGTTCTCGGTTCATGAACCATCTGGGGCAAAGGCAGATTCATCAATCTATACGGCTCGAGTGCCCCAGTCGTTCCACGAATCGATTTATCTGAGCACTAGTCTTGAATTCATTTTGTTTCTGACTAAATCAAATCAATATATACGGCTCAAGTGCCCCAACCATTCCACGAATTGATTCTTACGTGCAAAATTTATTACGTGTTATTCGGCGTTCTACGTTCGTGAACCAGTTGGGGCAAGGGCAGATTCATCAATCTATACGGCTCGAGTGTCCCAGCCGTTCCACGAATCGATTCTTACGTGCAAAATTTATTACGTTTTATTCGGCGTTCTACGTTCGCGAACTAGCTGGGGCAAGGGTAGATTCATCAATCTATACGGCTCGAGTGCCACAGCCGTTCCACGAATTGATTGTTACGTGCAAAATTTATTATGTTTTATTCGGCGTTCTATGTTCGTGAACTAGCTGGGGCAAGGGCAGATTCATCAATCTATACGGCTTAAGTGCCACAGCCGTTCCATGAATCGATTCTTATGTACAAAATTTATTACGTTTTATTCAGTGTTCTATTTTCGTGAACCAGCTGGAGCAAAGGCAGATTCATCAATCTATACGGCTCGAGCACCCCAGCCGGTCCATGAATCGATTCTTACGTGCAAAATTTATTACGTTTTATTTAGTGTTCTACATTCGTGAACCAGCTGGGGCAAGGGCAGATTCATCAATCTATACGGCTCGAGCGCCCCAGCTGGTCCATGAATCGATTTATCTGAGCACTAGTCTTGAATTCATTTTGTTTCTGACTAAATCAGATCCCTAATTTTAATCGACCGTTAAGTCTGTCGTCTTACGCATGCTTGACATTTTGTTCTAACTGCTACTCTCCTAACTATACGCTCATATAACAGACAATACGAAAAATAACTTGAGAGCATATAAAATTTTCATTCATAAACTGGGCGCTGGCAGCAGACATTTTACATATGAAAATCCAAAAAATGTACATTGAATATACTTAATAAAACTAGAATGTCTCCTAGATCAATCCTCGGGATCAGACTCAAGTGGCTCAACGTCCACTTGCTCGTATGGAATTGGCACGGCCGATGTAGCTCCAACGGCAGCAAGGGCTTTGAGCCACCCATGTTTGAATCCCCGATTTTCGAATTTGGGGACTTCGTCTATGTATTTCTTGAAGGCGGCGCTCTTCCCAGCCTTAAGCGCCGTAGAAACTTCGGATTCAGCTCTTTCTTTGGCCACCTTCAACTCCTTTAACTCAGCCTCTGCCTTGGCAAGCGCCTCCTTGGCTAACTCGAGCGATTCCTCGCTTGCGTTCACCCTATCCTCGGCTTCGGATCTGAGCTGGTCAGCAGTCTGAGCCCTTTCCATTTCCATTTCGGCTCGCGCATTTTCCATAGCGGCCCTCATCGCCTCGAACTCGGACCTGCTCCTTTCACCTTCAGCTTTAGACTTTAAGTGGCCAATTCTTTCGGCGGCATCATGCTGCCAGCGACCTAGTTTGGCTATCCTTCCAGCCGTCTGCAAAACAAATCAGGATCATCACATCAAGCAATATAGTGTGCAAACCAAATCAAACGAGCAGAAAAGAGAATATCGTATACATACCAGAAGGGCAGACTGGGCAGCGAACGCTATAAGCTCCAAATGTGGCTCTTCTTGAAAGGTGGCCTTATCAGCCGGCAGTGAAACTGAGGCGGCCAAGCTCAACGCTACAGCCGGATCCTTTATGAAAGATGCGTCGTTAGAGATTGGCATGTTTTTGATCTTTGGTTGAACAACAAAAGGAACAACCATGTCGGATTCCTCTAAATGAGGCATTTTGCTAACAAGACTGTCCTTCGAGCCTGTATCTCCCTTGGCATTACGTTTTTCGCCCCGTTCTTTACGAACCAGTCGTTCTTCCGTGACCTGCTGTTCGACCTCCTTCTCTGTCTCATCCAAAACGATTTGAGCCGTTTCTTTTGCAGTAACGGGTTGTAAAGATTCAACCGGGGTAGGCTCAGAACGAGCAGCCTCTACCTTCTTTCGAGCGGCCATTCTCTCGGCATTTCTCTTTCTCGCCATCTGCGTGAGATTTTTCCCAGCCATGCCTTCAGAAAAATTGCCGGGCAGGTCCCCCAAATTCGTAAAAATGTCTTCGAAAGAAAACTCTACCTGACCCGAAATGGACGGTGAGTTAGGCTGGTTAAGACCGGCAGTTTCAAACGCTGATTTCAGAGCTTCGTTGACCTCTTCAGCCTCGGTAATGAACTCCCTGGTTGATTCGGCGACCACCTCGACTTTCGGCTCTAAGTCTTGCTCCAAATCGGAAGTCTCGAGACCAATATGTCTCAGGGACTTGAAGTTGGAGAAGATAAGAGCCGTATGGTGTTGTTCGCCGGTTGGGATCAGAATGTTGTCTGCGGCCAAGAACGTAGTACAGGTAGGCTCATACCTCAGAAGAATATGGGTGGCTCTGTCTTGTTTCTATACATTTGGATGGCCAAAATACTTTAGCGTAGTCTTAATGTCCGAAAGTACTGCATCGTCAGCCGAGGTTAGAACCCTCTTCAACTTATTGCCTGTAAAAACGGAGGATTATATTTGGAGAAGAAGTCGAATAAAAGAAAGTTCAACAAACAAGGAATCACACGGCAACCTGGTTCACCCGTCCGTCTAGGAATAGGGTCCAAGCGATCTTCGCCTTCACCGAATTCCCAGTTGCCTCGAACATTGACCATTACATCATCAACTCGTTTGCCGGAGCTGGCAAGCATGGTTACCAAGTGATGGTCGATGTCTCTGGTCCTGAGAAAGTAACGCCCGAGCCGACCGGAGGATTTGGCTAAAGCGTAGCAATGCCGAATCGCAAGAATGCCCAGGTTGATCCTAAGGCGCCGGTTCAATTCAACAATTCCCATTACGATTCGAAAGAAATTCACATTGAGTTACGAGGGAATCAGATCCCAGTGGCGGAGGATGGCCCTAAGAAATGGATGTAGGGGAAAGCGAACGCCACCCTCCGCAATGGACAGGAGAGGGAACACGATTGTATTTAGGTCATCCCTCTCCATATCCAGGGAACTCTCCGTTACTAGAGATAGATGAACATCATCAGGAATAGAGAAATGTTTTTGGAACCCAGAAATTCGACCCTCAGAGAGGAGGCCTTTCAAATACTTAGCCATTCTAAAGAGAACTCAAGGATATTCTAAAGCAAAAAATAAATATGGAAAGTAGGATTGCAAAGAAAAGAGAAGAAGACTTACGAGAGGCAAAGGGAACGAGAAAAAGACGGAGAGAAGTTGCAGAAAATACGTCAGAGAAAAAATACCGATAAGCGGTCCAAAAGGTTCAAATATTCGAAAAAGTATGTGTTCGAAGGGGCTTAAACTTCAAATCATAATAAATGCGAGAGAAACATGAATGAGGCGGGAAGGCGTTACAGTGACTGAAAAGCATGTACGCGTCCTGACATGCATCGGGAAAAGGATTAACCGTCGAATTTCTGCTTTCCCAAATCAGGAACCAAACACGCCGACTAACTGATACTAGAAGGGTGTTTGGGGGGCAATTGTGGGAGCCAAATTTTAAAGGAGGCATACTTTAACAGACAGGTATTGCCCGGCTCTGTCCAGAACCATCAGGATGCCGAATATAAAGGGTAGATGGGCTGAATAGGTACTGAGCTATGGAGCCGAGTAGATATGAACATAATGAGCGAAAAGTGGACCTGGCCCCGAGGCCCAGGGAACGAGTATAAATAAAGGAATAGCAGACTGAGAAAGGTATGTGATAATTGTGGTGTTTAACTTAGAATACAAGTAATCTAGAACGAGAGACTGACTTGTCCGTCAGAGTGCTAATTCTGGCACCCCCGACCGGAGTGTTTACTTCCTTTTAGGTGCCCATCGGTGGATCACGAACGTCCCCTAGGATCAGAAGAGTATTTCCTAAAACCACTTCCCCACAAACAATTTACACTTTTAGTGACCAAATTTGGCGACTAAAAGGTTTTTAGTTGCTAAAAGTTAGTCGGCGTTGGTTTAGGGTATAGCTACTAAAATTTTTTAGTCAAGAAATATTACTTATTGGTGACTAAATTTAATTTTAGTTGGCAAAAATTTCACTTTTAGCAACTAAAAAGTATATTAGTCGCCGTTAGTCTAGATTAATTTCTTTTTAGTTGTTGTATATTATTTTTTGCTGACAAAAAAAATGTTAGTCGCCAAACAACAAGCATATTTTTATGGTTGCTCTTTGGCGACCAAAAAATTTTGTCGGCAAATATTAAGCTTTTGTGACAAAAAATAAAATTAGTCGGCTTTATTACTTTTTTCCAACCAAAATAAAAATTAGTTGTCAAATTAAACTTTTGGCGACTAATATTTTAGTTGCATTTGATTTAGATTTGGCTAAAAAATAATTTAGCCGGCATACATATTTTTCTACCGACAAACACCGAAATTAGTCGCTAAAGGTTGAAATATTTTAGAGCACAAAAATTAAATTTATTGCTGTCTGGCCTTTTTTTTGGGGGGGTGAATGTCTGCCATTTTCTTTGTAAACAACTTCAAACCTCTTACACACAGACTGTCCTTCACCAAACCTCACAAGAAATCACCTCACCATAGCCCATCGTAGAGAGGACATTGCCACCACCACAACCGCAGATCACAGGTTTTCTCTCTCTCTCTCGCTTGCTCTCTTGTTCTTGGTCTGTCTGTGTGTGTCTTTCTCACTCACAGTCTCTCTCTCTATCTATTTCTGTGTGTGTGTCTCTCTCTCTCCCTCTCTTTCTCTCTCTTCCTCTGTTTTCCCATTTTTTGATTGTTCCTTTAGGGTTTTATATGCTTGATTTAGTTGAATTTTGTGTTGATTTCTGAAATGGGTTTGGTTGTTGTAGATTGATTTCTAAACTTCTATGGGTTTGATGTCCTAAACATAGGTTTGAGATACATTTCCCTCTCTTTTTCCCTTCTCTTTCATTAGTTTATTGAACAAATCCAGCCGCACATAGCAAGTCCAACCTGTCACACCTAAACCACTACCACCACCAAACCTCTGCTTCTTCCACATAGAAATTTCTTTAGGTGTATGACTAAAGAGTAACTATCAAAGATATACATTTCTTCAAAGGCCATAAAGGGGTTGTGACTAGTATCATATAGAAAAGTTCAGTTCTATGATTTTCACATAATCTTTTTAGTAACTAATTTGACTTAATATATCCCTATTTCATTATTTGTGATCCAGTGTGATACTTCTACTTCCAGATTTTAACTGTATTTAATTTACAATGAAAAGTTTACAATTTGTAAGAGTGCATTTTCATGTCCAATAATTTGTTTGAAAGATTATTTCATATTAATATCATTTTGTTCCTCCCTTTAGCCATTTATTTTGTTCTGTGTTAACATCCCTCTTTCTCTCCTTCAGTACGCTTTGTCTATTTTGCAAACTACGGTAGAAACAGAGATCAGCAAAGCGCAGAAACTTATCATGGAAAAAGATGCAGAATTACATGTTGCAAAAGAAAGCCTTTTTGGATTGGAGGAGGTGTCATCTGTACTCTTCTACTTGTAACTTTTCATGTTTTTATTAACTGTTTTGCATTTACAAGCACTTGTCATTTGTTATATTGTTTTAGATGGTGTATGGCAATCTTTAATTATGTTTCTCTATTTTCTGTATTACATTTTGGCATATCCATGTAGCAGTTCTTTAATTTGTTTTTGGGTCCTTCAGTGTGTTGTAACTATGGTGATTATGTCGAAAAAATCAACAGGTGAGACACAACAGGTGGGAAATTTTGACATTAAGTTCTTGCAATCTACGGGAGCATTTGCATAAATAGGTACATTTATTTGAAAATTAAAATAAATTTTTAGGTTGATATATTTAATTTTATTGGCTATATACATGGTGGATATCTTTTTCCTTTCCTGCACTGTTATTACGTGGGTGAGGTTGCATTATTCAATTTGATAAAGCCTCAATTCCAAGTCCTTGGGGCTACAGAATCATCTTCTACCATTCACCTCTGATTAGAGCCATGTTTCTCTGATACATTGTAGGCAATTATTTTCCTTTCTTCTTTACCATTGTCCGTTCTCTTGTGTAATGGGTATACCATTGTTTGTTCTCGAATTTAAATATTTAATCTTCATTGTGGTATTTTTCTTCAAGTTTATCAGACATGCACCAGTAGTTTGATAGCTTGATGAAGTCAATGATATCAGAATTTAGTTATAATTTTTTCAGCATTTGCTTTTTATCAGTGTCTTTTTAATTTGCTTATTTTTTACTGTTTCAAAGTTGATGGAATCTCAGTCGCCACAAGTTACCTATGGAAAACCTTATTGACTGTCTTGTATTCATTTATTGTATATTGAATTTCCTTGTTGATGTCAATATGAATTACACTTTTCTTCTCCAAACATATTTATTTTAGTCTATGACTTTGCAGGATCCCTCGGATCCATGAGTTCACGTGGTACATTGTACAATGAGATCCAATCTGTACCATCAGATGTTGTCACTTGGTAAAAATTTGCTTTTTAGTTTTCTACATTGATGTGGTGTGTTATTAATACTGCTTATGATATATATGGTTTTTTAATCTAACATATTGATGTATACAAAGAGAAGCAGGAGAAATCACATATGACGAATGGTAACAACAGCAGGAAGCATGATTTTCATAGTGACATTCAAGATAAGGATATAGTTGAATCTCTAGAAAATGAGGTTCAATATTGGATAGACTTTTCAAATGTTCAGTATCATCCCTAGAGTCTATGAATTAAATGGTTTTCGTATGATCCTCTATTTTGTATGGAATTATTATTTTATGTTGGAATATACTTAGTTTGTATGGAATTTGACATTAAAAATTATTCCATTTTGGATGGTTAGAAGTGAAATGGATGCAAATTGTGAGATGATTGATAATCTATGTATTGTTTTGTTTATATGCATGGTATAGGCTGCACAGAATACATACAGGTTATGGACAAATTAAAAAAAAAAATCATTTTTTTGGCCATAAACAATTGGTGGCCAAAAAGAAAGTAAATATTTTTAGCAACTAAATAGTTAGTAGCTAAAAAAAAATGAAAAAAAAAAATTGGCAACTAAAAATTTAGTAGCCAAAAAAAAATTTCAGACTTTAGGCGACTAAATTTTTAGTAGCTAAAAAAAATTACACTTTAGGCGACTAAAACATTTAGTAGCTAAAAAAAATTAGATGAACAAAAAAAACTTTTTGCCTACTAAATAAATTAGTCGTCCTAAATGATTTTAGTTTTGGCGACTAAATGTTTTAGTCACTGAAAATGCGATATTAATTTTTTTTGGAAAGCTTTTGCCAACTCAAAAATTAGTCGACAATTGAGGACTTTCGGCAACTAAAACTGTTCTAGCTACCAAATACCTTGATAACTAGTTAACGATTAATTTGGCAACAAAAAATTTAGTCGCTAAAAAGTTTCGGCGACTAAAAAATGACTTTTGGTGACTACAAATTTAGTCGCCAAAAGTGCCGTTTCTGGTAATGTAGGGTTTCAGCCACCGGAGTACACAAAAAAAGGAGTTTGTTCCAATTTATTCGCTGAACCTGTCACCCCCGTCGACGGAGAACTGAGGTTATAGCGATTCTGGTCTAAGACCCGACCCATTTGATATTTTGGATTCAGGTTTCAGTGTTTTGTATTGTTGTTTATGCGTTGTTCCTCTTTTCCCTCCTTAAAGTTTAGCTTTTTGGTTGTGTTGGTTGTGTTTGGAACAGGTTGGTACCTTATTTTTGAAAAACCTTGTTGCCCAGAATTTTGCTCCTACACTCAAGCGTCACTTCTTGCGCTTGAGCGGTCTCATTCTTTGTATCTTGCGCTAGAGCATCACTTCTTGCGCTCGAGCAATTTTTGTGAACTCTCAGTACTTTTGCAGGTCTGCAAAAGTATTGGGAAGTGGTATTCTATGCTCGAGCAGAGATTCTTGCACTCAAGCGGTCTTGGCTAAAGCGGCCCTTATTGCACTCGAGTGTTGGTCTTTTGTCTGTAAAAGTACTGGGAGTTTGTATTTCATGCTCGAGTGTCAACTTTTTACGCTTGAGCGGATGCATCTCTTGTGTCTTACGCTCAAGCGTCACTTCTTGTGCTCGAGCGGACTGTGTGTATATCGGTCTGTAAAAGTCACTTTTTACATCACTTTCTCTCTAAACTTTTTAAAAACCCTAGATCTACACACTCTCTCTCTAAAACTCATCTTTAACTCTCAAATACACTATCATCTATTGATCTCTATACCCTACTCCCTTTGTTAAAAAGGTATAGCTCACCTAGAGCTTCGTTTTCATCCGAATAAAGTTGGGTTTCGGCTTCATCTGAGTTTCATCTGTATTTATCTCGTCTTCCAACTTTAAGGTAGGGATTCTCTACACTCTTTTATGATTTTAACTTAGCCATTTGTTTTTATAAAACAATCTTGTGTTTTTGGAGGGTTTTGAATAAACCTAAGGTGTTGGTTTAAAATTAAAAAGATGGGCTTTCATATAGATGTATTGAAATTGATTGTAGGAGTGGAAATGAGGTTGAGTTATGATAAAATTATTGATTTTGATACTTGGAATGGATTTTGGAAGAAAAAAGGGTTTTGCTTTAAATGTCTCAAACGGTTATTTTGTATAAATAAATGGAATTTATGTTGGAAATGCGAAATTGGATGAATATTGATATAGATGGTGGAGTTAGATATGTATTATCACTTATATCTTGAAATTTGGAAAATTTATCTGTATTGGAGATTTTATATTTGTTTAGAATATCTGATTTGGGCTATCGTTGGAGGATAGCTATGATTGTTGTAGAAATTGCATGAGAATTAGGTGAATTGAAACTAATTTTTCATCCATTTGCATTGAGTATTATCACATCTTGATACATGGTATATGTATAACGTTTTTGAGAAAAAAATGGTGAATTTGGGAAGGAGATGTATTCCACTAAATTAAGTTGGCCTGTGTGTCTAGGGTGAAAGTCTCGAAAACTACGCATATAGATGGGTGCCGATTCTCGCGGACGAAATATACGTAAAATAGCAATAGTAGTACTTGTACAAGCTACGTTTACATAGGTGTCGGTTACGGTTTTCCGCGGATGAAATATTCATGAAAGGTTGTACTTTGAGATTCCCAGAGTTATGATTCATGGCCCTGTTTTCTAATGTAAAGGAAATGAATGATGAATTGTGATATAAACCGAACTTTGCATGGTTTTGGAAAGAGAAATGAGATGTTTTGGTCATGAGCATTGCATATGCATTTCACTCTTATATCTTTGTTAAGATTCATATATTATGTTGGATTATTTCTACTAAGCTTTGGCTCACCCTATATGGGAAAAACCATTTTCAAGTGTTGGTGAGATGCCTTTGCTAAGGCAGTAGCTTGGAAGGATTGGAGCAAGAGCTTCATTTTGTTTACTTGTTATAATTATTTTGTACAAGCCTAAGGTTTTATCTGTATTGGATTTAAATCAATTTTGATGTAACCAAGTACAATCTTAGAAAGTTGTAGCCTTCAGGGCATTTCAATTATCTGTTTAACTTCTATTTCATATCCTTGTTGTTGACATATGCTATAAATACAGGGTTAAAACTTATGAATGTATATTCGCATGTGTCACCCTTTTGTATAACTGAGTCTTATATAATGGAAGAATATTATACTTTGATTTATATTGTTAACTACTTATCATCGTGAATGGTTTATTGTATTTATTTCGAGGTGTTACAACTTGATATCAGAGCGTACTGAGTTTGAATACTTTGGGTATGTGAGAAGTGATTATTACTACAATGGGTTTGTCTCGCTTGATAGAGACATTTATATGTATGGTATGCTATGTGATAATATGCTTATGTGATTATGTGGGTATGAAATTTAACTCCTAAGATACTAATTAGGTCTACGGGTTTCTAGAAGTCTTATTAGAAGAACACTTGATCACTGTTGTTTTTAATTAGAACTCTAGTAATACCGCGGAATGGTCATTATCTAGGAAGGAAATTCGTGTATGTTTATGTGATTATGTGCTTATGTGGAGTGAATTATTGTTGTCCACCGCATTAGGATGCCAGTGAGTTCGCTTCGGTACATTTGTAAATGTGCTAATCTCTTTTGTTACCTTCATAGGATGTCAGGACGTGGACGTAGTGGTGGTAGGCGTGGGAGGCCTAGAAGGCATGAGGTGCCTTTATCGGATGAGATCCCGGCACAAGAGGAAGAGGTTGGTCAGGCCAATATGGTCGAACCAATTGGTCAGCAGGCCATGGGCGCCTTAGCCTATGAGATGGTCGGAGCATTGCGGGAATCCATGGTCATTTTCAGAGTTGAGAATCAAGTCCAGGCCCATGTTGCTGAGATGGGGTCATCTTTTTTGAAGCGAGAGTTTTTCCGGTCGAATCCAGATGAATTTGTGGGTGACCTTAAAGAGCCTTTAAAAGTGGATGAATAGCTCAAACAAATGGTGAAGAAATTTGAGATACTCGGCATCGAAGACGGTGGTTTGAAAGTGACCTTGGCATCCTTCCAACTGAAGGGAGATGTTGGTCAATGGTGGAAGTATGCTCGTGGGCGCATTGGAGCAACTTGGGAGTCTTTCATCAACGCTTTCCAGGACAAGTTCTTACCTTCCACTATTAGGCAGAAGTTAAGAGAGCAGTTCTTGCAGCTCAAGCAGTTAAACACACCAGTGGTCGAGTTTGAGGCCGCGTTTACTAGTCTATCTAGGTTTGTACAAGAGTTAGTAGTGGCAGAGGAGCGCCGTTGTGTGGAGTTCGAGAAAAGGTTAAGGACTGGGCTTTTTTTCAAGGCAGTCGATTCAATGATTAGAGATTACGGGCAACTTGTACAGTTAGCGGCTCATCTTGAGACCGTGATGCAAATGGAGAAGGAACTGATAAAGGGCTTTATGAGGAGTTAGGATGCTCAAGGAGACAATAAGAGGCAGAGGGGTTCCAATCTACAACAATCTTAGGGAACACAGTCGAGGTCCATTTTTCCAGTATCGTGTTTGGGTTCTGGGAGAGGTAGTCATGGAGATTTCACTTACTTTAAATGTAACTAGTTAGACCACAAGTCTCCAGTTTGCCCACAAAGGGGAGAAGGGCAGCAGTCTGCATCATCTTTAGCTCGTTCTCAGAGCTAAGGTCAAAAAGAGGGCAACTACTCACTTGTTATCAGTGTGGGCAAGTAGGGTATTTGAAGAGGTTTTGCCCTCAGTTGGGTGGTACACCTAGTGCATCTAGTTCAAGGCAGACATAAAGCCACTAGCCTGCACAGTCAACATAGGCCTCGAGGGCCAATCAAGGAGACTCTTCGGCTCAGTCAGTACATCAGATGTATGCTCTGAAGAGTGAGTAGGTGAAGCAAAGACCTTCAGGGTGTGTGTATGATATTACTACACCAGACTTAGTGCCAGCACCTTCAGTTGTGAAAGGTACTTTCTTGTTCTGCAATTCTATTGCTAATGTATTGATTGATACAGGTGTATCCCATTCATTTATCTCGTCTACATTTGCATCGGCTTTAGGGTTAGAATTAGCTCGGTTAGTATCTCTACTTAGTGTAGAGTCACCTATTGGCGGTGAGATTGTTTTGGAACAGGGGTGTCGGGGTTGTGACATAGAGGTTGCCAGTCGCCAACTTCCTTTTGCATTTGTGCTGATTGACATGTCAAGTTTTGATGCCATTTTTGGTATCAATTGGTTGTCATCGTATCGGGCTGTCACAGATTGTTACCGTTAGAGGGTTATTGTATGTACATTGAGCGGTGATTGTTTTTATTTCATGGGGGCAGAGCTGATAGAGTCTTATCACTGGTGTATGATTCGTGTG